CTTGGTAAACTTGGGGTAACCTGGATACTTGAGTGGCTATTTAGACATATTTACACACTTTTAAAGTGATAGGAGATCCCTGCATTAATGGCATCTCCAATTGTTTGTTAAATAGTCATATTTAACAAGATCACAAGAAAATATGTCTGTGTATTCAGCTGTTACACTGATGTGATTTGTCTTGATTTATTTTGAAGTTATTTACTATATGCAATTGTGTTTTAAAGCTGCCTTTATATGGGACTTCTTAGCACAGCATACAGTAACTGAAAGTGTAGAAGAACCTGCAGTGAGAGATAAGCATATTGCTGCTGGACTTTATCCCACAACTGGAAAAAAAAAAAAAAAAAGCCCAACTACTTGTACAGATAGCCGTAATACCTCCTTCCATCATATGGGAAACAATTTCAGTAGAAGTGAAATATAGTATGCGGGAAATGAGTATGCAAAAGCAGTACCTGAACTATATCTGCCCAGGTCTGTTTATGTATGCACGTAATGCATATAATTTGTGGAATTTAAACAGATTTTAATGCATTGTGGATGAATAGTTTTTTCCAAGAATAATGAAACTGAGATTGAATACCTCTTGTTAGTTTTTAGAGCATTGAGAGCATTTAATTTAGTATGTTTTATTTTGATTTTGAGAAGATTAAAAAGAGAGGACTTTCCACATGAGAGAGCTGAGGTATTCCCCTCTTTTGTTCTCCCTCTTCAGTCTTTTTATTTTGCATACGAGAGGAGGTAATACATGGTCCTAAGACTGCGGAATGACCATTTCTTTTGTTAACAGTGGGTTTCACCAGAGCCTGTTTACATTGCTCTGTGGGAAAGGCTTGCTGCCCAAGAGATGCAGCTAGCCTTTCCTGCTATCCGTTCAGATAGGCAGGCTGTCTGCCTGGCACTCCCCCACAGGGTGAGGCTACAGAGAAGAAAGGCAGCCAAGAAGCATATCTGAGTGCACTGTTTAGCAATATTTTTGCAAGCCACAAGGTTAGCCTTTAAAAATATAATTAATGTTATTAGTTTGTCATTTAGTTTGATGTTGTGCCACTTGAACTCTAAATCGTTCCTCAGCATTTATTGGAAGACAGTGCTAAGATGTGCATACTGTCATTTTAGGTGCTTTTGGTTAAAAAAAAAAAAAAAAGTATTAAAAACAAACTCGCCTGATAAGCTTAATCTCTCTTTTCTGCGCTACCTACTAATCTTTTGCTTTTATGTAGTCTTACAGCTAAGATTATTAGAACACCTCATAAGTTATGTTTCCTTCATAATCTTTCCAAAGCCTGTATTATTTTTCATACCTCACAGGCAGAGATGTGGTTTACTGAAGGTCGCAGGAGTCAAAGCTGACAGTAAAAGTCAGTTTTTCTTCTGCTAGACTTGTGCTCTAGATTGAGAAGAAATTTGTGAGATTACCTCCTTTCTTTGTGGAGTACACTTCTCTCTTGTACGTCCAAAGCTCAATTTTTCTTCAAAAAGTGGCGGATGTTTTTCTTAATCAACTACAAAAACTTAATCCTTCTCAGAAAACTCACTTGCCTGGTTAGAAGTTGTTATCCAGAGTGCTTTACACATGTACATTAATCCAGCTAGAGTGAAATGCACTTGTAAAATGCTCCAATGAAGAGTGAGAAGAAAGCAGAAAATCAGTCCTCTTAGAAGCTGATAGGGTCAAGAACTATATATTTTATTTTTTTTAAGAGAAATCACCTGAATTTTCTTACGTTAGAACTATGATCCTTAGGTAGTATTACTGTGCCTACCTGTAAGGCCACTTCTGCCAGAACACTGTGTGGGGCATCCTCAGCTGTTGAAAGTGATTTTGAGATAGCCGTAGGACACACAGTAGGTAACTTCATGTCTAAATGAGATAGAGGTGTTTTCGCCGGAGTTGTGCACAGTGGAAGCTACTCTTTCTAGGTAAGAGCAAAGACACGACCAGCCACAAGCACTTTGAAGACCTTCCTTTACTGAAGGAAACTACTTACACTTGGGTGCTTTTCTTCTTAAAAATAAGAGCTGCAAAACCCTTGCTGACTTTTTTTCTAGAGAGGTAACCAGAGAATCTTAAATTTATGTCAAGCTTGGTTCTGGCATCACAGAAGAGCTTACTGTTTTGATCCTATAAGCTATTCTGTTAGGCAATGAAGCTGAAACTAATCAATGTAATTAACAGAAACAGCAGGGTAAGATAAAAAAGCTCTACAGACACTCCTTGAAATGGGACCTTTAAAAACCATATCACAAAGATTAAGGGAATTTGTCCGCATGGTGAAATTGACTATCATAGCTGTAACAAAGTGAGCTCATCTACTCTAGGTACATGGAATTGCTTTCCCTGTAGACGCTATCCCAAAATAATTGCTCTATTTTGCAATTATTCTCTGATAAATTTCCCTTCATTATGGATTAATGTCCACCTGTGGAGCTATTCAGAACAACTTATTTCACTCTTGGTTGATTTCTTCCCCACACGTTTCAAAAACGGCTCGGGCCCTTGGTATTATCACAGAAAGGCTCCTATCTTTGTTTCAATGCTAGGGAAGTATCCACAGTGGTACATGTTCTGGTGTACTTGGGACGTGTAATCTGCTCATTATCACACTTTCCCAAAAGCAGCTATTGAGTTATGGCTGGAAGAGACAGATTTATAAAGGTATGCAGGAACCGAAAGGTAGGTTGTGTGGGTTCTTGTCTTTCTGTTTTTAGTAAAGTTTAAGTGATTAACCTTTCCTGACAATGATCCAGTGCTTCAGCAGAGAGTACTCTCTTCCATTCTTATCTGCATGTTATGATGATTAAATGTATTTGCAATTACAGCCCCAAGTTCCCAGTATATATGTTTTTATATACGTTTATGTGTTATCCTAGCTGTTGAAGAACAACAGTTGTATGTTTGAAGCATACAACCAAGAGATATTATGCAATCCTTATACTACACAAAAATTCAGTGAGTGGCATATCCAGCTATATAAAATTTAATGTCAAACAGGATTGTCAATGTTCTCAACAACTGAAAAGAAGATTATATAAGAAAAAGCATCAGACAATCTTAACTGTAAGGAAAAGCTACCATGTTCAACCTAGTAGCCTACTGATTTCCTTCTTTTGTGATGAAATAGAACAACAACATACCTGTGGGTCTGACTTTAATACCTTTGAGTCGTGACACTTTGTGCTAAAACCGTGCGGAAGAGTTCACTAGAACTAGGCAGACTCCATTAGCTCTTCGCTGTATGGTTTAGCACTCAGGAAAACACCAGTAGTCTAATGTTTGCATGTGTCTTTGGCCAGCCAAAAATGTCTTTTGGTTTATGATTTCTAGCCAACTAGTAGGTTGATTTACTATTTTGATTTACTCTTTGGGAGTCTAAAGTATGTGCATTTCTGGAAGCTCAGAAATCTTGTTCTGTAGCTCCCACTCTGATTAGCAGCAATGCAGTTCTGTTGGGTTTCGGTAGGATAAGCACTGTGGCAGCCTTGCTGGTTGAAATTCTGCCATCAAATTGCTACCAGTGGAAAGTGAAGAGCTGGTAGGTAGGACAAGCATTAATCGCTCAGGATTGAAGCTCTTAAACATATTCATAGACTTAAATCATTCCTTATAGGAATGCTGCTTATGGTTCATTGCTTTTGTATTTGTATGATTTCCTAGCTGTTTTTCTTTTTGGTATGCTGTGGATGTTCCTATGGCCAAGCGTAGAGGTACATACTGCATGACTGAGGAATTTAAACAGGGTAAGGCAGCACTGGAAGAGCTGCCTTTGGCCGCTGCGCAGCCAGTCCTTTGCGTTTTATACTCAACTCTCTATCACTGTGTTTGTAGACTGGGCAAAGTGTGTCTTATGTGCTGTTCTTGCTTGTATTGAAATCATAATCTAAACTTTCTTTCTGTGTTCAAAAGACTTCTTTTATTTTCCAGCATAAATATTTCCAAAGGCAGTTTTTATGTATGTATTCTTCTGCCAGGATTTTCCTGCCAGGGTTTGCCTTTGGCAGTCATTTCAACACTTGTTTTGCTGCTGCCGCCTAGAAATACAATGAAAGGGTATATAAATATAAAACAAGGAAAAGAACTGAAGAGGCTACATTCTTCTAGTCTCCCCTTTTAAAATAGGCTGTCTTCTAGACTGCTCACCCAGTTTCAGTTTGCTTCTTGAGCATCCCTGCGTATCATTTTCCAGAATTCCCAGCAAAGTCTGTAACGTCTGTTTCTACTTAACCAGCTGAGCATGTGAGCTAGCGCTAGTTTTGAATTGTGGTGGAGTAAAACATATAACGTGACAGGCAAACAAACGGAAAACTACATTTAGGGTCGGCAAAGCCAGAGCAGCCTTCCAAATTAGCAAGTTGGAGATACTGTAACTGTAATTAGCCCGCTAAAGAGAATAACGCTGAGGATGCAGTTTCAGAGGAAAGACGAAGCCGGTCAAACCTTGCCGGCACTAAAAAAAAAATGTGGTCCTGCTTCCTTTCCCCTGCTCTGGCCACTCAGCACAGCGGGGAGGGCAGAACTGTATCTGGTATCTGACCAGTTCCCTTGCAAACCCAATAAAGTCATCAAATTATTGCAAAACTGTATTTTGCTGGATTAATGTCCTAACTTTTTGCAGGAGCTTACATGACGAGGGCGAGGGGTGACCCTTTCTGTGTCAGTAAGCTATTAGACTGGCTTACTTTTAAGGGATGTCACTAGCTGTAGTTTACTTGAGCAATAACCTTTATGCCGGTGGATATGAGTGGTGAAAATAGTCATTTATTTGATCGTTTCCTTCCTTAAAGAAGGGAGAAGGGAATTTGCTGGAAGTATTTTGTCTCCCACAGCCATTTCTGTTACATTGATTAATGGTGATACCAAGGTTTGTCTGAATTTCTGACTCTTGCCTCAGGAGGCCAGTGATAAAGTTAGGCATCTTTAAAGTAAATTAGCTGCGAGAAGGAAGTTGCTGAAAATGGCTCAGTGATAACTGAGTTTTGTTTATTTTTGTTTTCAGTGAAGGGAGCAATCTCACCCCTGCTCATCATTACCCTGACTTCAGATTTAAGACGTATGCACCTCTTGCGTTCCGATATTTCAGAGAACTTTTTGGTATCAAGCCTGATGATTACTTGGTAAGAGCTTCCAGTTTTTCTTTGAGTTACAAACAATTGTAATGTAAATACTGCTTTCATAACAACAGAGGAACGCTCTTCAGTGATTCCCAAGGGGACGGTAAATTTTATGTGCGGAGTGCTTTATAACTGGTGAATATTTTTAGCATTTGGCCAAACGTGTAGTTCTTCAGCTTTGAGATGATTTCTGTAAAAAATGCAGCACGTTACTTGACTAGAGTACTACTCGAGTGTTACTGCTTATTCAGGCTGTTGTTTCTACAGAAGTTATGACTGCTTTAAGTACCTGTGTGAACTTTATTGATTCAGTTCTAACAGAGTGCTCTTGTGTTACTTGCTTTTATTCCCTTCATTTAAAAGGGGTTTGCCTGCAAGCGTTCCCCCCAAGTCTTGAGAAGAGTTGGGGGACCTAGGAAAGAAGCATTTTACAGAGTGTCTTGTTTGTTCTTCTTATTCGAGTCTTGCTGCTTCTCAACGTACGAGTGCTTACGTGAGAGAAAGATGATGAATTTGCCCTTGGCACAAAAGTAGGCTTTACTTTTGGTGGAACCACTTTGTGCACTGCCAGAGAAAAGGATCCACTATTTTACGTGTCGTGTAGTATTGCTTTTGGAAGGAAGAGTGGAAGCGCTGGATTGCTTTCTAGATGACCAGTTTGTCTTATGCCAGTCCACCCCAAAAATTGGAGTCCAAGTACAATTTAGCAATTCTGTGCTTCAAAGCTCTTTGATAACTTCTCTGTGCTGTTAATGATAACTGTGCTTCTTTAAAGCCAGAAGAGTTTGAACGAGTATGAGGTAAAAACGGAGTTAACAGTACTGAAATGTTACTTAACTGACTGCTATTATTTTTGAGTAGGTTGTTTAAGTGGGTTTTTTTTTTTTTTTCCTTCTTGGACAATGAGCCTAAAAGCAAAACTTAACTGGTTTTGCCTTTGTTGAAGTTGAACATTGGTATCTGACTTTTATTCTGTGGTAGTATGTATGGATTTTGTATTACTAGCACTCAGGGCAAAACTTTTATTTTAAAAACAAATGATTTCTTTGAATTATAGATGTTAGTTGCAATGAAATGCTCTTGGGCTGGTGTTTTATGAAGGTGTCCTTATGTAACATGTTGAGTTTTTTGTTTCCTTTTATGGACCTGTGGAGAGATACAGAATTTGGGTAAGTTATCAGCTGCTGAAAAGTGTGTACTTCCTACAGCAAAGCTATTGAGACACGCAACTTCTATTCCATCGAAAAATGCGTTTGCAGGACTGTAAGGTAGAGATCATATACAGACTTTATATGCTATTGATAGAGATTTGTGTCATCCGGTTTAACTGCAAGATGACTAATCCCTGAGGGAAAATTCCCAGTAAAGGTAACTTGTTGCAGGTTCTTTTTTTCCTCTCTCCCCAGCTAAACAGGCCAGCATAGCAGTGCCTTTCCAAGGAAGGGGACCTGCTCTGTCAGAAGAGCTAAAAGCGGAGCAGGTGTATGTTTCAGTGGACAAAAGCTGAAAGAAGCCAGGGTTCTCTGGCTGCATGCAAATGGCAGAGACGGGCATATTTTTTATTTCCAACTTAGTGCTCAGTTTGGGCAGCTGTTGAGAAACTTCAGGAAGTGTTTTTCATTGTTGGTGAGACAATAGAACGGAGCTTTCTCTAAATCACTGAGTGGGTACAGCGTGTCGGGAACAATGTGTCTGGGACACTTCTTTCCCAGTTGCAGCAGTTTCCTTTTTCCCTAGGTTAGAAAGAGTACTGCACCCAGCCTCCCTTTAAAGTTAAGAGTTGAGCAATTTTAAAACTGAGTTTGACTTTTCCTGTATATACAAAAGTGGATTTCCTTCCATGGGCAGGTAGCTTTGTGAAATAAAGTTGGAATTTCAGTGTTTTTTGTTGTAATTGATACAGTCCTTTGTTAGAGTTATACTTCCTCCACAAGCAAGTTAGAACCCATTTCTGTTGTTTCTGACTTTAAATGGGCATCATGTTATAAGCAGAGCAGGTCAGAACTGACTGCTTGCAGTCCAGAGGGAGATGTGAGCAGAGGGGTCTGGTGATCAAAAAGTGAAACTAGTTTTAGTTTGGAACCTTCTTTTCCTATTGGTTATGACCAAAATATCTAATTTAAAGTATGCTTCCAATATCACGTGAAGGGAGTCTAGCAGGCTAGTCCCCCTTGCATATACAGAATCTGGGTCTGCCACTGTCCGTTTTGCGGTGACCATAATTATAATTCAATATCCAAAACAATGTGTTTTTGTGTAACAGTATGCCAACTGATTATCCAGCTCTCCAGACTGAAGAGAAAGGGAAGGAAAGTAAAGGGAGGAAAAACTGCAGCACGCACGTGTGGATTTACACTGTTTGTGGTGACTGAGCCCATGTGCAGCCTCACCTCTTCCAAGGAGGCTGAGCAGTAGTGCACTGTAGGCTCGGTCAGGATGACAAGAGTAAATGCATTTGAACGTCTTATAGAATTAAATAGTCATTGAAAACCTTACAGAGTTGTAGCATCTTGCACAGAAATGTCTTGATCATAAATTACTTAATTGCTTGGAATTCTCTCTCTCTCTTTTTTTTTTTAAGCTTTCTAGTTTTATTTGATTTTTAGAAATTTCCAGCCAAAATTAGGTGGGCTCCTGTTTGGCAGCACTGTGTGGTAGGCTTTATTTTACAGAAATGAACTCAACTGTAAAATGGTAAGCACACAGTACAGGTTAATAACTTGCTTATGCTGAACTATTTTATTGAGCCTGAATGTTCAAGATAATTGGTTTCAGATGCTTGCAACAATGAAAGCTATTAATGAAGCTTTATATATTTTGGCAAGAAAAGCTCTGGCGTTGTAACACAACTGCTGATTTGCGCTGAAGTTCTGTCATGTTATAGACCAGTAATGTTGTTCTGTTCTTAGTCTATTGCAGCTGTAAGATTAAATGGAAAAAGTGTCTCTTGTTAAGTAGAACTGATCTAACTGGAGAAATGGGGAGAAGAACAGACAAAATTTTTATAGTGTGCAAAAGCCTTTTAAAAAATCCAAGCATGGGAAAAGCCTCAGCTGGAGCCAGTATAATAAAATGCATTAAGGCACTGATTCGAGTCCATAGGAAACAGGCTTCATTAGTTCAAGTGCTCACAAAAGGACATATTCATTCTGTTTTCTTATATCAATTTTCTTTGCTATCACCACCTTCTGAAATCACTGGCAAGACTCCAGTTAAAATTAATAAAAGCCACTTTCAGAAAATAAAAGCATTTTTCTTGCGGAATTGCTCAATTCCTCTCAGCCACTGACCCAATAATCCAGATATGTGTTACTGAAACAGTTATTCCTTCTGTTGCGAAAAGACTGGAAGACATAGTGCTCTGCTAAGAATAATTCCCTGGTTCTTATGCTATTCACGGTTCAAGTCTTGTGTAGTTTTGTTTCTTTCATCAACTCAATTTTTAGTATATTGGACTGTACACTAAATTTGCAACTGTGGAGAAAATGTTGATATTAAACGGAGGAAAAGAGGTTGTGAACAAAAGTTTTACATTAGTATGTTTTAAGCAAGCTCTTGAGTTTAACAGAAACAAACTTGCACTTGTTGTTGGAATTAATGTATCTCCTCCCCATTTAGTTCAAATGGAGCACCATGTGAACTAATAAATGTATGTACATGTACATAAGTGTGAGAAATCTGATTCTACCGCTAAAGGGTACTAAGTGTTATCTTTTTCCTCCTAAACATGATGGTAAATATTGTCTGCCTGTGGAAGAGAGAGCCTCTCTAAGCATGCAAAATAATGGTCCTCCAAAACCCTTTTTTTTTTTTTTTCCTGTTTACTGATACTTGTTTTTCTGTTTTAAGCCCACAAGTCATTAGAAAACTACTTTAGAATTATACTATGCCAAGGTGGTTATTGTAAAGGTTTCAAGCTCAATTGCACAGGAGAGAACTTGTACGCTTGAGTGCAGTTAGAAATCTGTACTCCCAGTGCGTTTATCTAACATGTTCCTCTAGCACGTTTCATAAATGGCTGTGAAATGTGAACATTTGCATCGAAAACATCAGCGGGAGGCTTGTGACAGAGGCGTTTGCAATGCTGGCCATGTGGCGACGGACCCCGTCCACGGTGACCGCTCGTTTCTGTCCAGCAAGAGCTGGCCGCTGCGGCGGGACGCAGAGCCGGGCTCGACTCAGCTGCCCGCGGCTCCTCTATGACGGCGCTGGGTGCCCTGCCGAACCACCACGAAGTTTCTGTGACCCGCTTTGCTTGTGTAGGAGTTGCTGGGGTTGAAGGCGCAGTGATGTAGCCCCCCCGGTTCTCCTGTGCCCACCGGCACCTGCAACTCTTCCTGTTACATTTCTGGTCTGAATAACGTTTGCACTGGCCATGAATACCCTTTTCTCTCTCTTCCAGTATTCAATCTGCAGTGAGCCTTTAATTGAGTTATCCAATCCAGGTGCCAGTGGGTCCCTCTTTTTTGTAACTAGCGATGATGAGTTCATCATCAAAACAGTTCAACACAAAGAGGCTGAGTTTCTTCAGAAGCTTTTACCGGGTTATTATATGGTAAGTAACTGGAGGTTTTTCTCCAGCTTCGTAAATCATAACCGGTGTTTTTCCTGTTTCACATCTCGCTTTTGAACGTTTGGCTTCGCTTGTTGTCTTCTAGTCTTTCAGTGACTTCATCCATGTTTTTCATAATATTTTTGACAGTTTTTACCATTTGTGCAGCTTTCTACCCCCACACCCATCAAAATGAATATAAATCATTCATAAAATTTAGGATAACCATTATTCTTTTAGCATTCAAGATGGAGCTGAATATCCTCTTCTGACTTGAAAGCAAACCTTATTGCTAATAAGTTAGTAATAAAAAAAATTTCTAATTCAAGTTTTTTTCTCCATTTTGTGTTTCTCTACCCTTTTGTGTTCCACTCAGAGTGGACAAAGAACCGGTCAGTTTCACTGGCAGTTTCACTTTTGTTTCTGGACTACTTCTGATCTCCACTTCTCATGTATTAAAACAAAAATATGTTAAAAATAGTTTTATCCTTTTAAATTGATCAAAAGTTATTTTTAAGTAGAGCTTTTTGAGGACTAATGCTGAGTTGGTTGTATTACTTTAATGTATGTCAGTCATCAGAAGGGGGGAGAAAAAGACCATTGATCCAAAGTAAATAGAACTAAATTCTCTCTAAGTTTTTTTTTAACAACAGCCATTTGAACAGAGACTATTCTAAGTGGTATACAGGACTTTGGAGTATTAAACCTTTTACCATTTGCCTGGTTTCCTGCTGTGCTCTCTTAAATAAACAGTAGAAAAGTCACCCTCTCACTTATATTAAAAATGAGGAGTATTGCCAGAATTACACTAATGTAACTTGGATTCAGTGTTTGTTTAAAGACATTTCTTGCACTGATAGCATGAAAAAGAGTAATAGGGGCAGGTACTGTTTTTTTATTGCTTTTTGTTACCATGATAATCAGCTCAGCATAGGTTTGAGTTGACCGCTATTCCAAGTAAGCATAAGGCCAGTTTGTGTTGAACTTTATTTTCATTTCTCCTATATGCAGAGCTTTACAAAATGTAAAGTGTAACCATTGTAACTGTTTCTTATGAAAGTACTTTCTTCCGATAGTTGTAAGTTGTGACTTAGTTAGTAATCATGTAAGATGTTAAGTAAGTTTTACCCTTCTTGCTTTTCTGTGCCAAAACCAGAATGGTTGTGTTCAAAAGGAGAGTTTTCACTCTCACCTCTCTTATCCTCTCCTAGTTTTTTTTGTTTCATTTTTTGTTTTTTCTCCTTGTTGTGGAATTTAGAATATTTCACACCGTTCTATTCTGATGGTCAGTGTGATTCTGTTATGACCTCAGACTCATGTGGAGACAACCTGGTCATTTGGCACTGACCCTCATAGTGAAAAGCCTCATGGAGACCGGAGGTCTGTTTTTTTCAGAAGCCGAACAAAGATAGTGAGAATTACATTTGACCTAAGCTTCTTCCAGCAAGTGCAATGAGAAGGATTTTTTTTAATCAAAATAAACAAACTAATTCTTCAGGATGTTTCTAGGCTTGGCTCAGTCTGCTCTTTCACGGGACACAGGAAAGAGACCTGGCAAAAATGCAGTTGCTGCTCTGCTATTGGCCTATATAAGTTCCTGGCAAAAAGACAGTGCAAACCTTTGGTGTACAAGGATCAGCTCGGTAGTATTTGTCAGAACAATGTATGACAAGGAGTATGGTCATGGCAGGAGCTTAAACTGCCTGTAGAATGGTGCTCCATGCCTACAAGCAATATATGATAGTAGCAGCAACCTATTGCTTTTCCTGCTGGACCTCTCTTCACCCTGGAAAGACAGCCTGAGTTTTGCAACTCTCTGGGGCTGCACACTTGATTTAGTCCATGGCAGTTCTCTCGCTTCCTCAGTTTCTCTTCAGTATAGTCTCTTCTCTGTGGCTCTGCTAGCTTTCTGAAATGCAGACCCGCCAAAAAAGGCAAGTGATCAAAGAAACTATGTAGAATAGGAAAACGTGAGCTGTGTTCTTGCTGTTAATTTCCTTTGGCATACAAATCTCCTTCTTAAGCATGGAAGCTTATTTAAAATAGGCATATTTAGTAGTATCTGTTTTATTCTAGAATCTGAACCAGAATCCGAGGACTCTCCTACCCAAATTTTATGGGCTGTACTGCGTTCAGTCAGGAGGCATTAATATTAGAATTGTTGTGATGAACAACGTTTTGCCACGAGCCTTGAGAATGCATTTCACGTATGACTTGAAGGGCTCCACGTACAAGCGGAGGGCATCAAGAAAAGAGAGGGAGAAGTCCAACCCTACGTTCAAAGACTTGGATTTCTTGCAAGACATGCATGAAGGGTTATATTTTGACTCTGAAACTCACAGCGCACTAATGAAAACACTACAACGGGATTGTCGGGTGAGTAAAATTGAAGAACTGTTTAAACTTTTGTATTCACACCTGTTCTAGATTTACTTCAGCAAAACAGGGAGCAGAACATGGCTCTGTACTTTGTTTAACTTCTGAATCTTTTTCATGCAATTTTATTAGGCAAAACTATGGATGTCGAAGTACGGACGAAGGTTATAGTTCATCTAAGCTGTTGAGGTCTCAGATGCATTTGTGGAAATAAAGATTTATCTAGGAAAGTAGTTCAGCAGAGGGGTATTTTTCATTCTTGTTCTCCCTTAATTTTGAAGTTTTCCATCACATTTTTCTAAGGCATAGCAAATAGGCCTGTTGTACTGTTGTTACATATGATAAAGCGTCTGCGGGCCCTGTATTGCTTTGGTAAGTTCATCTCTTTGTAAGTTAGCAGGAGCTGGCAAGCTGTCTGGGTGGGGGTCTTGTAGCAGCAGGCACAAGCTTAGTTCTGGAGCAAAGTCATTTCTCCCTAAGCTGAAAGATGAAGTGCTTGATTTGCAAATAAACTTTTCAAGGGAAGAGAGAATGCCTGCCATTGTTCTTTGAGAGGACCTTGGCAAATGAAATCAGTGCCTCTTTGTAGACAGACGGAATTGTAAAATAGGGAACTCCTAAGGGGAATGTGTGTCGTGTTTCCCTCCCCCCCCCCACCCCGTAACAGAGGAAAGAAAATATAAAGGAGGAAAAAAGAGAATTTTCCAGGTCTCTCAGTGGTTCACAAGATTAACAGGGGATGCAGAGGAAAAGACTGGATTTGTCCAAGGGAATCGTAAGGGTTTGATAATGAGATAGCGGAACGGGTAGGGTGAGCTCATCGCATAGAAAGGGCGTCCTGGACATCAGAGTGCGTTGTTCACTGCCACCCGTGGTGCAAGATGGAAAGCCTTGTTGTTGCACATGAATGGTACTTTTTGTTTAATTAACACAGAAGTCTGCAATGCCATGTGCTTGGTTGGTAAAGCTGAGTGATCTAACGTTCAGCTGTGTGGTCAGCGCAGGAGGTTTATGTGACGTGGGGCATTGTTCTCGCTGCTGCCTCTTGCAGTGAGCCCTTCCTGAGCTCCGGCCACCTCTGATAATGCAGCATGCATCAGTGTGTCACATCTGGGAATCTGGATGCCCCTTTTATGCCTCCCTCTGCTTGTCCAAGGTTACTTTCCTGCCCTGAGCTTTGCCTGGGTGGGGGGAGAGGGGAATCCATTATATAGAAAATAGTAAACAATCAAAAAGAGGGAATCGGGCTGAAAAGTAGACAAAACGGGAATCAGTCATGTAATTGTTAAACATTAAAGGGATTCTTACTCGTTCTTTGTTTGAAATCTTGGGTATGCTCTTGGCATGTGTAATTTGAGTGCTTTTTCAGTGTTTTTAGTATTTAATCTTAAATTAACAACTCTAAAGTTAGCCTGGGGTTCTTAGAGGCCCAGTTAAATTTTACTGTTCTTAAAGGAAAAGAAGGAAATTAAATATTCAGGTTATAATATTTTTAAGTGTATATAAAATGTAAAACTACCATTATCTTCTATTTGAATAAACTTTACCCTCAATTGTAGAACAAAGGTAGCAGACACTGTTATCTTTCACATGTTTGCATGTGTTCAAAAAACCAGATTGCGTCTAAGTATATCTTTCACAAGCTTAAAAACACTGACAAGATCGGTGTCCTGCCTTTTAAAGGAAAAGGACACGAGTTTTGCCACTGCTTTTTTTCCGGCCGTGTGGTGTTTGGGCCACTACCTAACAGGAGTGATAACTTTAATTTTTAAGTGCTAAAGTCTAAGTTATCTGTCCTTTTCCTTACGCTTTGAAGTTCCAGCACCTACAATAACTCTCTCACTAAAAATTCCTTAAAGAGGTGAACTTATTAATCCTGTCAGTATTTCAGGACAAAAGTCATTCTGAGCTGCATCACTTAAATTTTGGTTATATTTTCGTTTGTAATTTTTACAATCAGGATCAGTAAGCAATGCTTTTGTTTCTGCTTTTTTAATGTAAACAGTGATTCTGGAAAACCACTGACTGTCTTCCTGTGTCTGCTCCCACATGGACATACCCACACTTCATGAAACCTTGGCCTAATGTTTTGAAATAGGTGCAGCACCTCTCTTTCAGTAGTGTCGTACATTAGTGCAGAAAAGTTGTTAAATATCCACAACTTTTTGTTGTACTTGTTGACAAAACTGTAGTTTCTGTCTATAACCAAATGCTTATCTGAGAACGAGAGCTGAATTTTAAAATAGTAAGAGCCAGGTAGGAGGGGAAGATTTTTCTCCTCTCTTTTGGGGAACTGAAATGCATATGAGGAAAGGGGGTGGGAAGGATGTGAAAAGCCTTTGAGCCTCATTCCAAAATAAGAGTTACGTGGTTGTCATGAATCAAAGCGATGATGACTATTCCTAACCTATTACCTCCTCTCATAATGAGGTGTTATAGCTTGTATGTTCTGCACTTTAATGGAAACTTGGTCATTGCTTTGTTGTGCAGGGCTTAGCTCCAGGGGTGTTTTCAGGACTGAACATTTTACACAGGTACTTCTAAGAAAGAAATATCACAGTCAAAAGCAAGTACTCAAAGACGAAGAGCTACGTCTCCTAGTTAATATGGTTGTGCTAAAATTTACATTTATTTGTGTTCTGGTTTTCAGGTTTCTAGATTCTTGTGGTGTATGTGTTTTAAGGATTATTTAGGTTGTGACTTTTTTTTTCATTTTCATTGTATGAAACTGAGATTCTGATGCAGTACTAATTATTTAGAAGATATGGCTCAAAGGAAAATAGCAAATATCAAAGTAAAGTTGTAGGTTTTGGCAACATTGCACTTATTCCACCTTAAAGTGATGTGGACATATTCAAGCTTTTTCTTTGTTTTGCTTTTTCTGCTGGCTATTAAATGGAGTGGTAGGATTTTATTTTTTTAGGTATTATGTGAAAATTTTCTCCAGTTTATTGATGGCTCTCCTGTACTGAGGTCCCCAAACTGGACATAGCATCCAGAGGAGGTCTGACGAGCACTGAGCAGGGGGGATAATCCCTACTCTCGCTCTCAGGTCGTGCATTTGTCCTGACTGAATTGTATTGGGTTCCTGCCAGCCCCTTCCTTCTGCCTGGCCAGTTCCTTGTGAATGGCAGCCCTGCCCTCCAGTGTATGGACTGAACCCTTCAACTAGGAGTCATCTGTGACCTTGACAGAGTACGCTCCATCCCCTCCTCCAGGTCACTGATAGAGAGTCACTGATAGAGATGTTGAACAGGACAGATCTCAGGATAGTCCTCTGCAGTGCCCCCACTTGATACCAATGTCCGGGTAGGGTGCAACCAGTGAACCACAACCCTGACCATCCAACCAGCTTTTTACCCGTTTAGTTGTCTTACCATCCAGACCTTAATGCCCTAGTTTGGATACAAGAATACTATAGGAGACACTGCTGAAAGCCTTGCACGGTCCTTGCACTGCTCTCACCTCATTCCCAAATCTACTCCCTTTATCATAGAAGGCAGGTAAGTTAGTCAGGCATGATTTACTTTTGGTAAATTTATCCTGACGGCTCCCAATATTGTCTTCTCCCTCATGTGCTCCATGAGGACCCAGTCCACGACCTTCCCAGTGAGGCTGATGGGTTTGTAGCTCCCCCGATTGACTTTTCAGCCCTTTCTTTTTGAAGGCAGGTATGACGTTTGCCTTTCTCCAGTTATGGGGGACCTCCCTGATCTTCACAACCCATCAGAGCTGGTGTGTAGTGGCCTTGCACGGACACTGGCCAGCTCCCTCAGCACAAGTCTGAGGGACTTGCTTGCCAGAAGTCCCTGCCTCTGTCCTCACCCGGGCTGGTGGCTCCTCTCTTCCTTGAGCTCTGTCACTAAGTGCAGAGGCCTGGCAGACTCTGCTGGTGACAGAACAGCAAGCATCTCAGCCTCATTTGTGACCGCTGTCACTAAATCACCCCACCCCATCCAGCAACAGGCCCACGTTTTCCTTGCTCAGCCTTTTACTGCTGATTTAGCTGTGGAAGCTCTTTTTGCCACCCTTAACGTCCCTTGCGAATATCCACTCCAGCTGAACTTTGGCTTTCCTGACGCCATGCCAGCATGTTCAGGCAATGTTTCTCGTTTTGTCCTTTGTAGCCTGTCTTTCCTTTCCCCTCCTGTGTGCTGCATTTTTGCATTGGAGCTGTGCCATGACTTCTTTCCTTCACCCAGCCCACCCTTCTGATACATCTCCTTAATTTCCTGGGTATTGGAAGCACAAGTTTTTGTGCTTGAGAAGCTCTCCTTAAAGGCCAACCAGCTTTCCTAAGCTCCTCTACTGTTTAAAGCTGTCTCCCATGGGATCCCACCTACCAACTCCCTGATAAGCCAAAATGTGCTGTCCTACAGTCTGGTCTGGGCTCTGCTGCTCTCTTGCCTCCCTCCCTCCCTCCCGTCCAAATCTTGACCTTTGCTATTTCATGGTTGCTAATGTCAACATACTTCCGCGTTTAGAAATGGTTGCAGAGCCAAGTGGTATAAGGATGAGGTCAAGCATTATATTTTCATTAGGGCCTAAGTAGTCAAAGGGAAAAAGAGGGCAGCAAAGTAAACCTGAAGCAGTATATGTAGCTAGCAGGACTCTTGGTGGGGTTGTGTAGAAACTGATTTGCCTACAAAGAAGTTCTTCAGCATATTCGCAAATAAGTCTTGTCTTTTTTTTCTTTTTCCTTTTGTAGCAAACTTTCCTTTGAAGCAAACTTCAGTGTAGCTTATATTCTAAATAAAATAGTTTTTATTTCTGAAATGATTTTTCTAACAAATTCTGAAAAATCTCAAAAGGAATGAAGTTAAAACTGTAGTATTTAAAAGCGGTGTGTTACTGAGCTAAAAATAAGTAAAATGTACTGCAGACTGTGACCATCGTGCTCTGTTCAGTCCTCGTCTGGCACAATGTTTCAGTTTCGTAAGGATTTCATGCTCAATTATTTCATGCTGTTCAGTACCATGCCCCAACCCCTCTACGTACTA